ACAGAATTCACAGGGACGCTGCTACAGCAAACCCATCAAGTTCCTGTTAAGGCTTCAAAGAAACTGTGCAAGAAAGGTAGTTCAGATGGACTAAACTAGCCTCAAGCATCTGAGTGATGCTCAGGGAACAAACAAATTACACTGCCAGTAGGATGACGCTACTTCCTTCCCCAATCCCTCTTTAACCGATGACAGAAATCTGGTTGACTCCTCAGAGGAATTACCATAGTAAGTAGTCATCCACTAGAGTTGGTGGGGATATGTGGCTGTTTCACAACACAAAGGGAAGGTTTTCAGGTGTTAGTTTTGTTTGTAACAAATGCATTTTCAGAGACCAGTGTCCAAAGGGATTAAGGGCTGAGAGAATGGACAGGTTTAGGATTAGCTGTCACTGAACTGAAGTAGTAATGCCAGTTCATTTCACAAAGGTGTAACTGGTCTCTTGGGAAACAGAAAATAAAAGTTGGATTTGATTCAATGCAAAGTGACTGAATTTAAAGTACAGTACTAAATATTTAAATGCAGTGTGACAACCAGATCAAAGATGCTTCATATTGGTGTGAATTTATAAAATTTCATATATAATATACATCTCATATATAAATTTTAAGCAATTGTGCAAATACTCTTTAAAAAGGGTCATTTCACATTTATTAAATTCTAGTGGTCCTGGAATGCAGAAGACATTCATTTAAAAATTCATTTAAATATTCGTAAGTAGTGTTCAGATCACCAGAAATTCTTTTTAGCAGTCAGGGATTTAAATAAGACTATCACTGATCCATTATCCATTGGATTATACACCATGGAGGTATGCAAGTATTACAAAAACTTAAACGGTTCAAACTGTCAAAACGGCAGTTCAGTACAAAGAGTGCTCTGCCAAACAAATATTCTCCCATTTGTGGAATTCCATGCCTCACATAAAAAGGAAAAATAAAACTCACTAAAAAATGTATAATCTCTGCTCTTCCTATCAAATATATTAACTGTTTTCCTCCTTCATTTGCTTTTAATTTTTTTAGATGTGGGTTTTAACTCATCACTGCAATATGCCCACGTCTCATGTCATCCTGTTGAAAACATAAAAGCACACAGTATTTAAACATTTCCTATTTGCTACAATATTCTAGACCATAGCCAATGTATTGTGTGTATATACACATATCACAAATATGTATATATAAACACATAATATGCAGTCACATACACAAGTACCTATAATATCACACCAACAATGTTAACTTTACACAAGTATTTGCCAAGAAAAAAAATAGGGCATTTCCTCCATCATTCACAAGCTTATGTGTTATTTTCTTCTTGAGTCCCTGATAAAATAAAATAGTCATTAAACCACAAAATTTTTCCACTTCAAATTTTCAGAAGGCAACAGGCACTTTGATGTATATTGGTGTGTAACAAATATAGTAACTCTTTATATATTCTACTACGTCTCTTCTACTTGGGTATTTTTATCTGTTAAATCTTTGGTCCTTGAGCATACTTTCTTTGCTACAGCTGTTTTTGCTTGCATTTTCACATTTAAAAAATGCGAGCTATGCACGCAGCTGGAAATAATGGATTGTGTCATCATAAGTTCTGCTGTTTGTTATGAGAACTGCACCAACCTACTACTGTTCATTCAGAGCAAGCCGTTTCTATCAGCGCAAGAGGAGAATTCCACAGAAAGCACTTGCTGAAAGTCTCAGATAGTAATTCCAATGATGGAATTCCCTTTCTTCCTCTATTACTGTTACTATCTTAACTCCTGAATTGATAATTAAGTTGGAGTGAGACCTTTTTTCCTCTGTATTTTCCCTTTTATGAATTCCATCTTACAAGAAACTCTACACTTTTCTTTTTTTCCTATGGCAAAGCTATGGGAGCAGGTAGTGCAAACCCATATTGTCATCAAGCATTTTCTTTCTTTCCCTTGTTATTTTAGGCAAACCTGGTTGCTTTTAATGACAGGTCTCTTTTGTTTCAGGATAGAATCCAATGGGGCAGGAGGATCAGGTTAGGAGGGTTGATGGTAGGGGGGAAGGGGAGGGTGGTCATTTTGAGATCATGCTCCCATACCCATGAAAAGATTCAAAGCTTTGCCAAGTTTAAAACCAGGAGCAGATCATCATTGCACAAAACACATCCCTAATCAGGGCTGGGTCACTCAGCCCTTTTTATCTTTTCTTTTTTTTCTCCCTATCTTGTCTGAAATGGCTTCCCCACTGGACATTTTTAAATGATTCTTAATTGCAGGGTAGCCAAGTGGAGTATGTCTGTTGTTGGCATGTGAATACCGGCTGGACCTGTGCAATGTAGTAATTGCTAAAGTTGGCATCTGCTACATAGGGGGCTGGCTGGTAATAGCAAGTGACATTTGCCACATTGGGGATGACATTTTGGTCAGCTAGCACCCGGATAGCCAGCATTGTGATCAGGTTTAAAGTCTGTCTTCTCTCATGTCCCATCAGGCACACCGTACTCTCATTCACCACTCCATGAAGGGTCATGAGATAGTCATACTTGCGGTCTTCCAATCCCACGAAGTGGTTCTGCAAATAGGACTCCAGTTTTCTCTGCTGCTCTCCAATGTCTGAGAAGTCAATGAAGAACCTGGAACACATATACCTCTGAAGGGTCTTGATCTCATCAGAGGCGGGCCTAAAGCCCCTCACTAAGAGGTTGCAGTACTTAAGCAGGCCTCCCCCCCTGATTTCTTCTGGATTCCTGGTAGCAATGATCTTGTTACAAAGGTGATCAAAGGCTTCGTGGAAATCCCCGTAGACACTCTCCCCGATTATCGTGGGGTGAAACGTTTCAGTCATTGGGTTCTCTGAACATTCATAAAAGAGGAGAAGAGAGTCTAATTTGATTTGAAAAGAATCTACACTAAATTCAAACTGCCTCCGGAGGGAATCCACAAATTTCAGTTCCACATTTTTGCCACTGTTGTTTGACAGGGATATGAGACTCCATCGGTCAGAGTCATTGCACACTTTAACCATTTTCTGCACATAAGCTTCCTACAATTTAAAAGATAAAACAAGAAGATGAGCATACCTAGAAAAAATAATAAATAGATAAATAAATAAATAAATGCATCCTCGGCACAACTGAGAATTACTCTGCTCCTTCCCTTTTGTTTTGTCAAGTTTCAGCAAAACACTACCTACAGGTTTAAACATTAAATAGTCTTTTTGAAAACAGAAAAAAAAATTTAACGAGTGGTTTTGCCGTCTGGGAAAGAGGCTAGAAGTAATAGTTTGAGGCTTTTGGCAGACGGGGGATAGCACCAAGAGCTTCTGTTGTCATGTCTGATTTTGAAATGTTATTTTTTGAAAACAGTCTTCTAGGTACAACACTCACACACTACCACCACAATACTCAAAAATCAGAATAGAAGGGCATATAGTGAAAAGTTGATCTCACCCTTGTCCCCAGTCACCCAGTCTGCCCCCCCCCCCCGCCCCGAAGCAAATGATTTAATCAATATCTTTCAGGTCCTTTCAGGGATTCTGCAGTTAGTATCAAATATGAACTAAATCCAGACATTCGGGGACGCTGGTTCCCCACACAGGTTTAACTAACTGTATAAACCGCGCTTTGAACCAAAGTGAGGAGGTGGGGACTCATTATATCCTGAACACATGAACCAACCCGGAGAAGCACCGAATATATCCTTAACACACGGAGTCAGCTGAATTCAGCTAGGAGATCTAGTCACACTTTCCAATACAATAATAAGCCCATTAACTCGACTCTCCTGCAGGCTGCTCTTTTCCCAAAGACTAAATCACCAAATGACTCAAGAAAAAAAACAAAAGAAAAGGAAAAAACGATTTACATCATTTCACTCTTCCACTTAACAGAATCTACTCTGGACACGACTCAAGCAAGGGAAGCCAAGGGTTAAGAAATAAGGAGAAGGAAGAGCAGAGGAGGAAGCAGAAGGCTTGCGGCGCTGAAGCAGCAAGTAAACTAGAACGCTCCACACGGTCCACGCACCTCGGTTTACTCATTAAAAACCTCAGAAGCAAAACAGGCAAGGGCGCCCACACCGGTCAGGACGGCAGATCGAGCCCCTCTGCCCACTGCACCGTACCCGCCCCCGAGCGCGGCCCGGTGCGGCCCCCGGCCCATGCCGGGGTGGGGGGGCTTTACCTTGAGCGTGAGTGGTGTGATCTTCTCCTTGTTCACCCCTTCGGGTAAGAAGTCCAACAGGCAGTCCAGCACGACGTCCTTCACAGTCTGAAACTCCTCTTCCCCGCGCAGGTCGGCGCAGAAGATGAGGTCCAGGTCCTTGTAGCCCAGGCCGCTGTCCTGGTGCAGGACGTGGCTGGCGGCCGAGCCGTTGAGGCGCACGTCGCGGACGCCGATGCGCTTCTCGGCCAGGCGCCGCCGCACCACCTTCACGATCAGGCTGGGCTGCAGCTCGAGCGTGGGGAAGTTGCCGCGCCCGTGGATCGGGATGGTCTCGCTCAGAATGCCGTCCAGCCGCTGCACTTGCTCCCAGTTCAGCACGTTGCAGTGCGCCGTGGGGCTTTCGCAATAGTCCAAGCAGGGCCCGCCGAAGCCGCCGCCGCCGCCGCCGAAGTCGCCGCC